CTTACCAACAGCATTAACCGCATGGCCAAGCAAAACCAGGCCCTGATAAATGTTTTACTCCAAAGAAACCTTCCAATGCCTCCTCCACCACCTCTAGATATTCCACCCAACCAAGAAAGAGCCCCGAGCCATACTGTTCGGCAACCCTATCCACCCAACTTGGAAGGTTTGCAACCTCCTCCCCCGCATATAAATCTACCACCTCCACCCCTACACCCTTCGGTCGTGGCACCAGCCCCTAAAGGGGAAGCCAGCAGTGTCCAGCCCCTATTGACTGACCATGGTGACCACATTCCCCTTTGGGACACTGAACTCCGAGCAATGAAGCTCCAGCTCCAAGGGGTCATGCAGAACATTCAGCATAAACCCTCTACCACGACAAGCTCACCATTTGTTGCCTCTATCCGGGACAAACCTCTGCCCGCCAAGTTCAAGATGCCCACCATTGACTCTTTTGATGGTACGACGGACCCAGTCGACCATCTGGAGACTTACCGTACCCTTATGATCCTCCATGCCTTCCCTGACAAGATCATGTATCGGGCTTTCCCCGTGACACTGAAGGGGTCAGCTCGACTGTGGTTCAGCCAGTTACCAGCAGACTCTATCTCCACTTTCCAACATCTCATCGACTCATTCCTTAGCCATTTCATTGGAGCCTAGCGCCAACGCCGCCTTGCAACCCAACTCCTCAACATCCGTCAGACCGAGGGGGAGTCGCTGCGCAGTTTCGTTACCCGTTTCAACACCGAAGCCCTACAAGTAGCGGAAAATGATGACAAGGTCATCCTCACGGATTTCATGGCCGGGCTACGATCGTCCGACTTCATTTTCTCCCTCTCCAAAAATCTCCCGACCTCCATGGCAGCCCTACTCTCCAAAGCCCAGAAATAGATGAATGCCGAAGATTCACTAGCCGCTCGGCAGGATCCAGTATCTAAAAACCCGACCCCCAGAGAAAAGAGAAAAGACTCAGAACCCAGAAACACCCAGTATAACAGCCAAACACCCCACTATACCGACCGACCTCCTCGTACTGACCGGTCGACACCCGCCCGACCACCCGGTCGGTTCGAGCGGTACATGCCCTTTAATTCTCCCATGGAACAAGTCCTCCACCAGATCCAACGGGACTACCCCCTCAAATGGCCCCTACCCTCACGAACCCCTTCCAATCGGAAAGACTAGTCCAAATATTGTCGTTTCCACCAGGACCATGGCCATAACACTGATGACTGCATCAACTTCAAGGATCAGGTCGAGACCCTCATTCGCCAAGGGCGTCTCAGCCGATTCACGGACACCCGCCCACAGCAGAGGCAAAGAACCGAGCCCCTCAGAAACAACCGCCGGCGTACCCCACCCCGGCAACCAGCCCAACCTAACCAAGGCCATGATCGCCCCCCACAACAGCCTCGGCTACCAGGTAATCCCCCTCCGCCAATTGGTGAAATCCGAGTCATTTCAGGTGGCCTTGCTTGTGGTAGACCATCCCGCTCCGCTCAGAGGGCAGAACTCAGAAAGATAAGGCAAGGCTCGGACAGAGCAGTTGTCACCGTAGACCGACCCTTCAAACAGCCCAAGCAGTGGACAGAGCCCATCACCTTCACGGACGCCGACTGTACAGGCATCCGTTATCCTCATGATAACCCTCTCGTCATTTCTGCCCTCCTCTCCAACTATAAGGTCAGACGGGTTCTCATCGACAACGGCAGTTCTTCAGACATCATATTCCTCAACTGCTTCTGCCAGCTCAAGATTGGGGAGGAAAACCTGTCTCCCTTTCAAACCCATTTGGTCGGTTTCACTGGCGACCGGGTGACCTCCATCGGCTCCATCGATCTCCCCCTCACCATCGGCGAATAACCACGGCAGACTACCAAGTTGGTCACT